TTTAGTGCAAGTAGAGAGGTTGAAAACATCCTTTTTTTTAACTGCACCACAATGTGTCTTTTTTTCTGCTGTTCCAGAGTCCTCCAGCTACTGAAAGCATTGCTAAGCTTTCCAAATCATCCATGCTAAGCACAACAGACAATTGTCTTTATTACCAAGGACTATTAGTAAATCTTCACTAGCATTCAGACATGGGTCATGACAGAAAAAAAATCTCATTCTAAACCACATAACAATTTCTGACACCCCAACTCATTTAAAAGAATACTGAAATCATTATGAATTAAATTAAAAATCTAGCAAATTGCCACATAAGTGTACAGACCCTAATGTACACTATGGGAGAAGACAGCGTTGAGCACTACTAGGCACTGAGCCTGAAGCCTAAGTGTTTTCATCATGCTCCCACTTCAGGTAATGTTCCTATTGGCTCTGCCAGATTGGGTTCTCCTGGGTGAGATTTAATGCTTGTTTATACTGGGAACTTTTGATTTGTTTATCTTAGCCTGGATAACACCTAATACAGGTACTGTGCTGCTATAACATAGATATCCTATTGGCACAAAGCATCCTTATTTGAAGTTCTTGATGATTTTTTGAGTCATCTCCAAGTCTAGAACATGAAGTAGTATTTCAACTAAGAAGTTCTGCAGCCAGCATAAGTTGAGGATGAACAAAAGAAGAACAAAATTCCATACTACAGGCATGTCCAGAGTTTGACTTTAGACCAATTTTAATTTGGTCCCATTGACCGACTGCTTATTGGCAGCTGGAGTGCATTAAGGCTGTGTCTACATTAGCATGAAGTATGAAGCTGTAGAACTAATTTAGAGGTCAAAAAATGGTTTTGAAGATTAATGTCCATGCCTTGTGCATTTTGCAGTTTATTTATAGTAGATCTAGGCTGATACCACAAACTCACTGTTTAATTTCATCTGAAAGGATCTAAGTTTGTGTACCTCAAAACAGTTGCACAATGCAAATCAAAACAAGGTAGAGTAGGGACCAATGAGGAATTAATTTCTAAAGTTCACTTCTGATTCAAACTAAAACACTACCGCAGATGCTTCATAATTGTGTTCTTGAAATGCACCATTTCGTTTAGATTAATCTGAAAGTAACTTAGCTTGTAGGCTCCAAGACTGTTCTGCAGCGAAAGTGTGATAAGCAGGGACAATTAAGAGACACACCTCAAACATGCACTCTTAAACTTAACTAAAATACTAATGTAGACACTTCCTTTGCAATAGAGGTACACAGAAGTTCTGACATCTCTGTACTCGACTTCACTCTATGTTTTCCTTCAAAGTTTGTGTCTTGTGCCAGGTAGGCATTAAAGCTTTAAAATGAAAGAAAAGTTTGCTGGAGTAGGGTGTCATTTACTGCAGACCACATCATTTCCAGTTCAAACAGAGACAGGATAAGGCTTTGCTATCTTGTCCTGGATTCCTGAATTTGAACCGTAGTATGTAAATATGAAAAGCATGCAAAAACACATCCATTCTTTTCTGCAGATATGTAAAAAAGACTCCATACTGTGAGGAGCAAAGGAACTTTCACCCTGATTTTTTTTTAATAGACTAACCACTGCAATTACTACAAACTATCGTCTAAAGGAAGACTGAAGCATTTTACACTAAGCTGGCAGTAGCTCTACTGCGGAATTTGGCCATGTCTGTCAGAAAGCAGTAGTAATAGTAACATGAAAATATTATTTCTTTCTGATAGAAGGTTCAGTATCCTTAAAAGTGGATTATGCTACCTTTATAAGTGGAGACCTTTCTGAGCTATCACTCAAAGACACTCTACAGTAAAAAGAGCAGCCCAACTTTTCTAACAGAAACAGATGAAGGGGAAAGGAATAGGTGGGACTGCCAGCCTCTTTATGGAATAGCATTCTTTATGCCAGGATTCATTTTCAAAAATATCTTCCTTCAAGTAAGATGTTCTTCCCTCTTTTGATTAGCAGTCCTCTTAAGTTCAGTTGATTATCTGTTGCTCTATTATAAAACAACACAGTTCTAAGAAAATTTGATTCTGTTTCATAATCTTATAAAACAGGAAATACAAGAACTCTAAATAAAAATCTCATCAAACATATACATACCAACTTTTTCCCAACTCAGCAGTTCATACATGTACAAAATATACGTAATTTACAAAATCCCATAATAAAGAATTACAATTAAGTCACAATTTAGAATTCCCACTGGAATTATTTTCAGGAAATTATTTTGATGACCATGTCTAGATTCAAAATTCAATCTAACTATGCTGTACAAATCAAATACAGTTCTTTCTCTCTTGTACCAAAAAGAAAGGACAATTTGTGTCCATAAGTATAAAGTATAGAAGCTAAATGAAAGTGAAGCAACAAAAACCCGCTGACAGAACAGTCAGTTCATAAAGTGGGACTGCTGTTAAGACAAGCACATACACATTCATTCCCTCAGAGAGATATTGCTAGAGGAATTCAGACTAAAAACAAGACGATTCGCAGTGTCATTCAAGTAATGATACTCCAAGATTTAAACTGTCATCAGAAAGGAAAGTAAAAGGAGATCTGCAAGGATCTTCACAATCTTCTATTTTCTACCTCTATTGCTAATGTAACCTCCTATTTTCAGGAAAGGAGGACACAAATTATTTGCAATTTCCCCCCCCCTCCCCCCAAAAAAATAGTGAGGCAAATAATTTTTTTTAACTTAAAGCATTTTTACATGTTGGGATGGAAATAACTGGAAAGACAAAATGCTGAAAATTCTTATTCATGAGTAGCCTAAATAATATTAATTTCCACTGACTAAATTTTTGAAAAGAATGGATTAAAGACATACTGGCTTATTTTTGTACTGACATATTTTCAACAGAGCAAATGTATTAGCAAAGGAGACAAAGATTCATTCACAGTCAGTTTGGGGAAAAAAAAAATGTCCTACTTTAACAAAACAAACCTGTCTGCTCATCAACATAAATTTTAAAAAACTGACATTTATTAAATACTTTTTATTTCCAGTTATATAAATGGGTACCTTTTATTTCTGTTCCATCCTGATATTCTCCATTGACAATCTATTTCTAAATAAAAGTTTGGTTGCTTAACTTTCCATATCCTACTCACACTGATCTATAGCTAAAAATTGTATTTCACAAAGGAAGGACACATTTATGCTTCTTTCACTAAAGGAGTTGTATAGTATTTTCACATCATTTCAATGTTATCATCACTGAGTAACCAAAATAGTAAAGAAAAACTATTCATAAACTGGGAAGCAAATAGGCAGCATAATCGTACTATTCATTCCTGATCCAGTGAGAAAATGTTTTCCAAATTTGAGCATATGCCTTTGAAAACCAGCACTCTGTGGCTCTTTTCACTGAATGGCGACACTATCCCCAATTATACAAAACAGTAAAGAAACCAAGCATTTGAGTATTTTCTGTAGATAATTATGCAATAGGATTAGAAAGATGGTGACTATAATGGAACAAGTAAACAACTAGATGTTCATTATCAGAGAGCTGGTGAGCATCCATAGCTCCCTCTAAATTAAATTGAGTAACTCTTTTTAATAGGTCTGCCTTTAATTCTCGTGCCTAAAAAATCTTAAATTCAAATATATGTATTTTCATAAATAAGCCTCATAATAAATGCTGTGAAGGTATATTATTTCAAAACAGGAAGGAATGGATGAGAGAAATATGAGTTCATATGGCTGCCTGAAAAATGTACATTTGGGGGACTCTGGTCACATGTTGGATTCTATTTTTCAATAGGGATAAAGGAAAGTCTCAGAACTCTTTTTATATAACTTTATATAACTCTTGGCACCATAATAGGTAGTATCTGAGTTTCTCAGACATTAGTATTTTATCCTCCAAATCACTCTTCTGAGAAAAGGTGAATTATTATTTTGATTTAATCTATTTCAGGTTAGAGTTTTACTTGTACATTTTTGTCCTCTAGATCTTATTTAATCTGCCTAGATCTTTTTTAAGCAATCATTCTATTTTCTCACTCAACTGACACATAATGAATAGGGAAGCTTCCTTGTTGGTAGAATAACCTAGTGATAATCAATTATTATAAAAACTTTATTCCATTGAATTTCTTGAGCTAACTTTGCTTCAAGTAAAAATCATTATATGTCCATATTAAGAACAGAACTATTAAGAATTTAATGAGATGAGGACACTTTGGAGATGCAGTGAGAAAATGAGACTTTTAAAGAACAAGTTCAGGCCCTAAGAAAATGCAGTTGCAAGAATTATATTAATTTGTGTACTAAATTAGAATAATAAATTATTAGGACTGCAAACAAATTTACACAGTAAACAAATTTACACATATAGCTAGTATGTGTGTAAACAGAACACTGTAAAACAAAGCAAATTAAAAATGATGAAGCCTAGCCCTCAAAATTTGCTAGTAAAATGTGCTGATAAATACTTCTGTGATATTTTTACTCAAAGTTTATATTGATGGGCATCAGGAATTCCTTTTCTTTTAAAGAATTCTCTGTGCATAAAACCAAGCTGGTATTGTATTGTACTACTCAACACTAGAGGCTTTTTTTTTTTTTTTTCTTTTTCAGATTATTACTTTTGCAGGTACAACTTAGGATAGGTGGGGATACAGGTTGGGGATAACTAGAGGAAATGAACAATAAATCATGCAGCATTATGTCCAAAAGCACTTACTTCTGTCCATCTTGACTGTACTAATAGTACTGCTCTTTGTGGAATTTCTGACATCTACAGGAACTCACTTTTTGTCTCTCAATATTTCTGTGGCAGATGGCATATATTGTTTCATGTTTGGCTCAGTAATACAGCTACCAATCACTTAATCATTGCACATTATAAACATTATAGCCACTTGTGGAAACTATAATGAAAGCAGCTACAGATCCAAATTTAGGTTCTTTTACAACATCTGCCTTATGCAGGCACTTGTTAGGAGAGAACAAGCAAATAAATGAAACACAAAGCAAACATACCACAGCTCTAAGAACTACAGGTTCTTCTAGTCTGGTGAAGATCAAGAGACATGAAGAGGAGATCTCGATTTCCCTTTTACTTGCTGGAAGAAAATGGAACTACAGTTAGGGAAGTATTTGCTGCTGAGCTAAGTTGATTCCTACAAGTAAAACTCAAAAATATAAAACTGACTCCATATGGTTGCCTTCAGAGAGAAAACTAAAGCTATGTGCTATGTGCAGAAAATTCTCTCAGTAATATTTCAGACTGATGGATATTCTCATTTATTCTAAATAACTTGCTGAAAAAGTTACTAAATTTCAATATTGATGTTCTATTATTTTGTAAGTTTGTAACTTCAAAAAAAGTGCAAGGTAATAATAACAAAAAAAAAAAAAAAATCAGAAAATACTTAGAAATACATTTCCTTTTAGATCCAGAGAAAGTTTATTTGTAGTTACCATCAAGCAAGTCCAGAGAGGAAAAAAAAACCTAAACAAAACAGAAAATGCAAACCCTTTCTTTTAAATTGTTTCCTTTCTTCCTCCCACATGTATCCTTCAGCAACCAGTTGGACTGAACACATTCTATTGTTTTCAAGTTTTAATATATTTAATTTTAAATATATTTTAGTATGAAAATAGTTTTAATATACTTAAGGTTTTATATTTTCAAGTATAGAAAGAAATTCAAGTAATATATGGAAACATCCAAATAATCTGAACCCCACCCAACTGAGCTATTAGGTAGAAAATAACAAACAAAAAAGGAATATATTAAGAAACAAATTAATTTTACTAGAAGCTATCAATAATCTAATGAAGCAATCACAATTGTATAGCTTATTACCATTGCAGGGTGAAACCAATGTTATTTGTGTGTTTAGTTAGTGCATTTTCTTACTGACATGTCTGAATTTCTTTAAAAACTAATCTTAGTTGCAGTTACCCTCTGTTTAGAATACTTGTTTGGCTAAAAACTACACTTCTGTAGTTACAATTTATTCACTGTATTGCTATAACACTTAGAAGCTATAATCATGGACAAGGACATATTGTGTTAGATGCTGTAAAAACACTGAACAAAAAGGATTGCTGTTTAAAGCATCACTGGGCAGAGAGAGAATGAAGACATACAAAGAAATGTGTATAGGATTTGGCTGCCAGCTTCCAAATGACTATTAATTTTTGAAGACTCAAAAAAAAAAAAAAAACAGCTTTGATGTTTATGGTGTGTTCTTTTTCCAAATCTGAGAAGCAGAATGAGAGAAGACACAAAGACATTAGTCCTAAAATTTAACATCAGCAGTGAAAGTTAGTATTGAGAATTGGTAACAGCTGGCACCTCGATAACGAATAATAGATGAGGTTGATGCAGACAGGGCGAGTCTTTGAGAGAAAAAGAAAATACTTTGAGTAACAGAGAAAGGAAAGCTAGTATAGAGATATACGGTCAAAATTACTCCTGAGAAAATGATCTTTGCAGTTGTACTATGAAAAAAATTACACTTACATTATTGATATCTACAAACTCCTAACTGTCATTATTTGTAACTTTGGGGGAGGAGGCTTTTATTAAAAATAAGGAGAGAGCAGTAATTTCTCCAGAGGACAGTAGTCTCTCTGAGCTCCACTGTTACGTAACTACTATAACACTGCATTACAGTATAAAGAAAATTAGAAAGTTCTTTCTCATCTTGGCCATTTAATTTTATGGCCAGGGTGTCAGAACTGCCAGTTTGCTCCTGTCCCAACTCACTGCCTCTATCTAGAGCACTGAGACAGTTGTCAAATAAAAGAAAAAAAAAAAAAATGAAGAAGAAAACATTATGGAGGCAGATACAGAGCTGGAAATAGTTCCATGCCCTCAGATATTAGATTTTGAATGATGGCACAGTTTATGAATTACACTTTCACATCTGATAACTTCTGGCCCTGTATTTATAAAAGACACGACTTATTCTGGTAAGTGAGGGGGGGAGAGGGCAAAGAAAGAGGATTTTATGGTATACAAATGACAAGATGATTTCAGAACAAAAGGACCTTGCTCCTCACTCCTCATGTTTTGGTCTAAACTGCACAGATTACGTCAACCGTTTGCCTTAACACCACAGCCTGAAGATCATATATCACACCAAAATCACAACAGACTGCATTAGACAGCCTCAAATTATGAAAAATGCCATTTAATACAGTACTGTATCAAAAGTAAAAATTATTTTTTGATGGAGTGCTGCATCTAAATAAAAAGTCTCACGTCAGATGCTGCAAAACTTTTGAACCCTTAAAAAGTAGTCTGAAAAGTGCCAAACAGCCAGGGTTGCGTTTAAATACGTGCATCCTACGAAAAAGAGTGTGGTCCAGTGTTGACACAGCGGGATGCGACTAAAAAGCCACGAGAAGAGCAAAACAGTAGCTCAGAGAAGAGTTAACGCGGTGCCTCAGAGAAGAGTAACGCGGTGCCTCAGAGAAGAGTAACGCGGTACCTCAGGGCTCGCGCCCGCGCGCGCCGCTCGCCCGCCCGGCCGCGGAGGCGGCGCGGGACAGCCCAGCTCCAAAGCACCTCACTCTGCCAGAGGGCCGCTCCAACTCCCTTACCCAAAGTGCGCGGCAGTCAGTTTAAAGGGCAGCCCGCCGCGGAGGCTCTGTGGAGACTCCTCGCAGCGCTGCGGCTCTACCCGCGCGCCGAGTGCGGCTGGACGAAGCGTCGCCCCGCCAGGGAAAAGGGGGCAGGAAGAGGGGCTGGGAACGGCTCCTGCGAGCAGAGGATGGCGTTGTGCGTAACGGGGATAAGCGCAGCAAACGGCACGAGCAGGGAGCTTGTGCTGCCCCGCGAGCCGTCTCGGGGCTCGCTGGAGCTCCCTCCATCGGAGGAGCCGCAGCTCCCTCTCCGCGGAGCCTCAGGGCGCTGCACGCGTCACGCGCGAGCCTGGCTCCCCGCTGCCGCCCTTATTCCCCGTCGCTGGGCGCGTGGCGGCCGCGACCGTTGTTTTTGCACTCGGCTCCAACGGTCGCTCGCGCGCTGACGGGTTGTTTACTTCCTCCGCAGCGCGCGCCCGCTCTCCTCTCCCCTCCCCTCCCCCCGCCGCCTCCACGCTCGCCGCCGCCCCGCGCCCGCCGCGCGGCTCCGTCGGCCAATGAGAGCCGCCCTCCGGCCGCGGCGGAGAGGGGAGGGGGAGCTGAGGGGGCGAGGCTGCTTTCAAAAAAGAAGTCGGGAGAAGGCAACGTCAGCGCTCATCGGATGGGACTCCGGAGCTCTGCCGCTGATTGGCTGGGCCGCCTGTCAGTCGTCGTCGGCACCCCGCCTTCCGTTTTACTCGCGCCGCCGAACACACACGGTGTCCTGTCCCCGCCCGCCGGGCCTCGGTGTGGGAGGCGCTGATTGGACAGTGTTTCAGCCGGTCATCTCCGTCGCCAGTCAGCACGAGCTCCGCCTCCTGCCCCGCGCGCGCTTCTGAGCGCAGGGAACGCCCTTCGCATCGTGGAGAACTCCCCGCCTCTCCTCAATGATGCCGTCTTTTATTGGTCCTGCGGGCTGCCCATCCGCCGCAGACCCGCCTCCCCACCAGCAGCACCTGCTTGATTGGCTCACTTGGGCACGGGCAGCCGCTTCCTATTCGCTCGCGCTCTGCCACTCCGGCTCGCGCTACGGCCCCGCGCGCAGGATCGCGGGGGAGGGGGGTCGGGGGGAAGTCCGTCCGGCCCCGCCCCCGCCTCCCTCCCGGCGCGCGCCCCCGCCCTCCGCGGCGTCACGTGATGTTTTCGCCGTGGTGCCGCCGCGGCCGCCTGCGTGAGCGCGAGTAGCCGGACGCGGCGCGGCAGCCGGCGGAGGCGGCGAGCGACGAGGGGCGCCAGGAGGGAAGGAGCGGGGGCGCCGGGCGCGCCGCAGCCGCCTGTCCGCCCGCCCACCCACGGAGCCGGCCCGCAGAGCAGCGCGAGCGCCGCC